GTTATTTGGGTTCTGATCGGATATATCCGAAGTTAAATCCAAAATTGCAAAGAAAAACATAAGAAACAAATACTTATCTATATATAATAGATATTTAAGGTACTTATTTAATTAGATTTCATTTCAAAATAAATTTAGAATTAAATAGTTGAGATACTTATTTATGTATCAAATATTTACATATGTGATAAATATAGACATTTGGATCGTTTTTAGATTATTTTTTTAGAGTTTTTTAGTTTTTTTTGTGTTATTCGTTTGGGTTCGGCTAATAACACTTCGGGTTCAGATATTGTTTTGAAACCATCCTACAAGATTCATTTTGATATATCTTACATTTCATATCGGATATGGATCGTTTTTTTTTAGTTTGGGTTAAGTTTGGACTGCGGGTTACGATTTTATGTTAAAATCTATTTTAATGAAGAGAAATTGCGATTATATAAAATTTTCACTGAAAAATTATCCCGCGCTTTCAAAACGCGAGTCAAAATCTAGGTCCATTTACAAATTATGCTTGTGTACAAAATATATTTATTCATAACTTAAAATCTGAGAAAAAACAGAAATCATAGTATATTTTGACTTTAAAGTTAAAAAAAAAAAATCATCTATACTATTAAAATAAATTGAGATAGAATCACTATGTCAACAACTTAGACAACTTTCTCAAAAATGGTGTTCAATTTAACATTACACATTTATAAATATAACCTCCTATAAATAGAACCAAGACTCCCATATTTTCATTTAATATTATATGAAATGATACAATATCAGTGCTTCCGAAGCGCGGGTCAATATCTAGTCTTATATATTAAAAAAGAAGTCACAATTCATTTATTAAAAAAAGGACCCTCACTAGAAATTAGTTATTATTCATTTATTACTAATAATATAATTTAATGATAGTATATCATTCATAATATAACCATCGACTCCTATAAAATCGGATTAGTTATTAAATTATCAACTTATTATAATATCTTTTGATATCTTTTAATTTTAAATATTAATATTAAATTTATATAATCAAAAATATGCTTCAAAATATTTTGTCAATATATTATTTTTAAAAAAAATTCTGTAAATGTTTTCACTAAATTTTGTGATTAGTTTATATATATAAATATAAAATTATCTGTAAATATTTTCAGTAAATTTCGTCATTATATATATATAAATTCTAACAAACATATTAAAAAGTAATTTTACAATATCTTAATTTCAAAAAGTTATGTAAATATTTCACTAAATTTGTTATTAGCAATGAGTTATTATTATGCATAAATATATATAGTTATCGTTTATAAAATAAGAAATAATATTATATTCTATTTTATCTATTATATAATAATAATAATAATAAATAAATAAAAGTAAAAAATATTCCTAAAAGGAAATCTACCTTTGAAGGACGGGTCCAAATTTAACATAAATGAAATATAAAATAATTTTCAAATATGTTGTTTCATGCATATATTTATTAATAAAATAAATATATAATAAGAAAGGACAAATATAAGTGACTATATTAAACAGTTTATTAATTACAACAAGTAAATTATAAGTTTATTTTATTTGAAAAAGTAATATAAACATTTAAATATATGATTAACGTTATAAATGTATACCACTAATAATTTAAAATAAATATTTATGTATACAAAACTGAAAACAAACATCTGCACGTTTGCACAACTGAAGTATAAATATAAATTAACCTTAAACTAACTATTTAATTACACATAATGCCATTGAAATACTAACTAATCGTTTTTCAGCATTTATTGTCTTTTTTAATTTTAAACATACTTACTAAATCGATTTCAAAACTAATTAATTATAAATAATAAACTTAATTAATTTTTCTTCTTCAACAATATATATTTTATAGTTTTTCAATTTAGCTTAAGAAAAGGATATCTAATAAATTTGAACATATTATAACATTAATTAAACACAATCTCATAGAAAAATATTTCATGAAATTTATTAGGAGATTAAATTTTATTTTTAAATTATCTTTCGCATAACACTCAACCACTGTACGTTTAAAAAATGTGACATGTTTTTTTCTAGATTTTTTTAAAAATATCTTAATAATCAAAATATCTATATACTACGTTAAATTAATAGATTAGGACCTATCATTGCCTAAGATATCAATAACGCAAATTCTGATAAGATTTTTTGAAAACGAAACATTCATAAAATATTATTATATAATTTATATTACATTAAATAGTGAAAATATTTTACATACATCGACATCACCAAATTCAAAATATATTATGTACAACTAGATCCTTTTCCCGGGCTACGCCCGGGTTACTTTGTAGGAAAAATTCATTTTTTGTCATTATATATTTGTTAGATATAGTTTTTTATAAATTTTTTAGGAAACCGAGATGCTAATATTTGTTAACAGGTGTTTTATACATAATATTTTTTTAATAACGGCCAAAAATGTCAGCCAAAGAACTTCATTTGGAAAAAACAGGTAGTAAATAATGTTTGATGTTTTGAGTTTGTATTTCATAAATAAAATTTGCTGAAATAATAGACCAGTTATGAAATAAAAACCTTTGTTAAATAATGTTTAGAAGTATATGATAGTTATCTTAATCAAGAAGAACAAATTTATAAAGTCCCAAAGAACATAAATTTATAGGTTGTATTCTCGAGGTAGAGGATGTAGATGGGGTGAAAGTGTTTTGAGCTGGAACCTGAAAATTAATTAAAATAAGTTAGTGAGCAGTTATTAGTAATAGAAATCTGTTTATTTATTAATAATAAATAAATGTATAGTAAACTGGAAGTGAAAAGATATCCTTCATAGCGATTGCATTCTAGCTTCGAATATTTGGTGTTATTTGGTAGGACACTGTCCAAAACCTGTATTGGTTTTTAATATCTATTCAAATAAATTAGTTTTCATTGTATTTTATATTATTTTTGAAGTTTTCATTTTATTTTAGTATCATTTTAACTTCAAAAAATGATAAAAAAGTCTTATAAAATAATTCTATAGTTATATATATATATATATATAGATACTTAACTTAAAATTAATTTAAGTTTATAATCCAGTTGGATCGGTGTGACTATTGACCTAACTGCAATGTCAAGTAAATGCTCGGTTTGGTATTCAAAACATTGATGGTAAAGATAAATTAATATCATCCTATTTATAAATAAATAAAATAAATAAACATTATTCCTAACAACAATTTATATTCAATCTTAAATTTATATAATATCATTTTAAATTTAAATAAAAGTCAATTCATTTTATATACTTAATTTTTATATTTTGATAGTGAGTACTTTCTACCAACATTTTGAAGATAGAAAATATAAAACTACAGATTAAAAATATATTACAGTAAATATTATGTAAGTTATTTATACCGAAATTAAAATGAGGATTTTGTATAAAAAACTAAAAAATCTATATTTTATAGAAAAGAATTATTCATTATTAGTATTACTTATGAAACTCTAACTTGCATTAACTACAATTATTTTGTCAATCATTATCCTTTTCTATTTAATTTAACATTCTATTTTTTCTGTTTCTAATTATAAGTTTAACTATACAATATATTATATATATATATATATAAACAATATGAATGATATGCTTCTTTAAAAAATGTTGTAATGTTAGATTTGGGAATAAATAAAAACATCTTTAGTTGCTACATCAAAGGCCATTTGACAATATAAATCTTGCATAAATAATTTCAAATATATATAGAAACACTTATTCACCTAAAATTTGCCTGCTTTTGCTCGTCTTATAGTTACTGCTTAATGAAAATTATAGAGCAAATTAGGTCCGGATCCTTCGGTCCTAGATATTTGGATCCAATAGGTACTTGTAAAATTTTAGTTCATGTTCGGGTCGTTTCTTATCAGATCCGAGTCGGTTCGGATCTATAATTAAAATACCCATAAAATATCCATAATTTGCAAGTCTCATATCGGGTTCGAGTATTTAGCATCTAAAAATAAACATGAAATACCTAAACTCCATCAAATTTAGTCGAATTTGTCATATATATCTAAAATTTTGCAAAATAACTCAAAATAAACTATAAGTAGTTAAAATAAAACATTTTTAAACTCTAAATTTTACATCCAAAGCTTCATATTACTTGAAAACGCTACAAAATAATAACAAAGATTGGTAACAAAAGATATTTCAAGTAAATCTTAAAATAAAATATAGAAAATAGAACACAAAATCATAATTTTGGATATTTATGTTTTAAGTCTGATACGAATCGTTTCTTAGCGGTTGGGTCTATTGAGGTCGGTTCTTTTTGGATCCGGATCTATTCGAGTTGGTTATTTTAGGTTCTGGTTCTTTCGGATACCAAATTTTTGGACCCAATAGGTACTTATAGATTTCCAGTTCGATTTGGGGTTTGATATTTTTAGGTCGATTCCGATTCAAGTTTTTTGCTCCGGGTAAAATATCTAAGCCTAGAAGAAATGGATTTTCGGGAGCAAATCTGATTACATTGGTTTACCAAATGGACATTAATTTTTTTTCCTTTAGCCTCTTTAATAAAAGTACATGATTATTTTCTCTTTATGTGAACTTCGTGGTGAATAAGATCTGATATCTCATCGTTGTTTATTAGTTAAAAGTGTAACATATCAAGTAATTCAGATGAGATGATTATCTCATCGTTGTTTATTTGGTCCTGTCCAAATGATCAACACACGACAACATTAGCAGAGAGGTCTGGAAATTAAATGCGATAGTAGCTATTGAAAACTAAATGAAAGATTTGTAGTCCAGCTGCTATATCTGCCAACTTCTGTTCCATTGCAGTCTCTGTTTCACCTGCTCCTTACAAAGATTCAAACTCTAATACTGTAATCTTTATCTTTGAAGCAAATGATTCTTCATGTTTCTTGCTCTCTTGCTTCTGAGATATCATCTTCATCTCCTCGCGCACTTTCTCATCAGCCACTTTGGCCTGTTAAACTTCTCTTATAACAAACTCTAGTCTCTTTTCAGCTTCCTCAGCAGCTATCATAGCGGAATCTGTTTCTTGCTTCAGACTCTCTATCTTGCTGTTCATCTCTTCAGCTTCGTTTCTTGCTCCCACAGCTTCTAACTTCATCTCCTCAAGCTTCAAGCTCTCTTCCTTAAGAGCTTTCACCTTCTTCCCCTCCTCAATCTCTAAACTCTATGCTTCTCTCATCTGCAGCTCTTCACGTTCTCTCCTCATGTCCTCAAGTTCAATCCTTATAGAATTTACCAAGCTCCTGAGAGAGCACTCTTCATCAGAAGACTCTTGTAGCCTCGTGATAGTAGAACTTAGCTAAAGACCCTCAAAATTCACCATATCAGCCATGATCTTCGACTTTTCTCTGAATGGAACTGTAATTCTCTTGTGAATCATTTTACTTTCTCCAATTCATCATCCATAAATCTCTGCAAAAAAAAAAGAATATGGCCAAAAGAAGCATCTAATTCGGGTAAACATTATTGCTCTGAAGTTGCCTTGAAATATATTCCTCTCCACACACATCAACTTACATCCTAAGCTTGTACTCAGCCAGGTGCTCTTGAGTCGCCACACTTATTCGATCGGCAAACAGCCTCTGCTGTTACTTCAGACAACACGTGTATTCCATAACCAACACCGCTCCTTCTGCTTCACATTGCATTTCCTCAAATTTTCACAAATTTTGAGTTTTTGGAAGCTACGTTTTTTTCAGTCATATATATGAAACTGTTACATACCAGAGCACATGTTTCCGGGACCAATGGTAGTCCACCTTGCTGTTAATCTTCTCCTATAAGAGATCGTCCAGTCCACCTTGCTGTTGTTCTCCTCCTATAAGAAACCCTCCGATGAATACGCTCTAAAAAAATAATCAAAATAGTTACTTTAAGATATGGTGGAATAAATAATAACATGTGTACATACTTGTATACGAAAAGACAAATAGACTTTTTACTTGCGATCTGACCCGTTTAATCTCTTGTTCTAGTTGGATCAGCGTGATCCTACATGATTCAAGTTGCTGAGCATTAGCACTTAAAAATTTACACCAAAGTAAATCAAGTCATTTACTGACAACATTTATGGGCTAAAAGCATCGAAATACTCTGTTCTGTCAAATAGAAACAAAAATACATGAGGGTAGATAGATTATCTTACATACAGAAAAAATATCTTACCATTTCCAATGTTTATTGCAACAGTCATATCGTGCAGTCCCTGAAAAGTTTATGTTATCTCTGTATAAAATAAAGGCAATAAGTTATATAATATGACCTTAACTCTTAAACATAGATAGTTTAGCATCTACAAATGGATCACAAGGGAGTAACAAATACTTGTAAGGGATGTGAGTAGTTGGTGTTGGCATTAAGATATTGTCTGGCAAGTCATAAGTCAATTATGTAAACCTGGTAAAAGAGACTTATCAATGATATCATCCCCTTTTCAAAGTTCATAAAAATAAGAGAAATTGCAGAAACATAATTTGTTTTCCGGCGTAGGCCCATGGGAAATTCACAAGGTTTGATATCTCTTTGTAGTTAACCTTTGGAGTGTACCTTACTGCGCTCCGCGCCGTGGTGAGTTGAGGATGCTTTGTTATGTTTTTCTCCTTCGAAACCAATCCAAAGTGATTGGATTTATGACAATTTTCAGCTAGACATTGAGTACACTGCAGGTTGAAAGCACCATTCAAAAGTTTAAAGCTTGTCTCACTGACCGATTTAGAGTTAATTCATAAAACCAAACCTATGAATTAAAAATTTAAAACAGAACTGACGCAAATCAAATCTCCAGAATGGATATAACTAATGCACATAAACTTACATCTAAACAGCTACGGTGGGGATAGTTTGATTTGTGTTGAATTAACCGAAATCGTAGCTCTGATCCGGCTGGTCTGAGCAAGACGTCGTTGAAATACACGGCGACGGGAGAGTTGTTCGGTGGTGCGGACATATTTCCCGTCAGCATCAGCAAAATATAAAACTGATTCCGTTTGAAAGCGATTTTGGGATGTGTACAGCAAAGAGGATCTACGGGAGGTGAAACGAAAGAAGAGTTTATAGATCATCATTGATTGATTAGTAGTGTTTCAAGGTAACTGGAAATTTTGAGTTTGGAAAGTGGAAAAGTCATGGCAGAACTGATTTCTAGGATTCTCCGCAACCTTACCCATTGACCAAATCGGAAGTAACCAAAAATCATATTTAAAAATCAGACCGAAAACCAAACTGGTTTGGGATCAATAAACCGTGTCCAACGTGGAAGATAGAAGCCCTCTTATTGGTCAACTAAAACTGCCTATGTGGATAGCCTAAGAATCCTTTATATGCTCCTTTTAATAGTAATAGATGGTATTTATTATTAGTGAGATTAATCAAAAGCTCATCTTTTATTTAAAATATTTTTTTTTATTTTTTGGATCAACCCACAATCCAGCAACTTAGCTTTTTTGTCACGAAAGTACTTGAAAATTAAAAGGACCCAAGTCCAGGATTTTTCAGCCCAAAGTATTACATGAGATTGATCGACCGTCGACGAGCGGCCGACTTTGCTAAAGAATCAGAAAGTGAACTGTAACACACCACTTTGGAACAGCGTTGTAGCTTCTTTGAAGTCCCTTTCCACAGCTATGTGAACTGTATGAAGTAAAGGTACCAGATTCCAAACATTTTCCGCTAAGGGCAGTTGAAAAATATATGAGTCTTGGTTTCTTTTGCGTTGCAACTTGGGCAGTTTGTGTCCGCACTGAAACTTCTTTTCTGTAGGTTTTCTCCTAAAGGAAGAGCATCTTTTATGGCTGACCACATGAACAGTTTAACCTGTGGTGAGAAGGTTCCTCCGGCAACTTAGCTAACCTCTAAAAATACAACAATGACCATTCAACTATCATATATTCTCAACATTTAATATGTTTTTAATAGATCCTATTTGTGTTCTTAAAATTTTTAAATTTTACACCCAAATATTCCCAGTACATTGCCAATCAAACTTCCATTTTTTTAATGCTAATCGAATTGAAGTTATATATTATCTGGTACAATCTTCGCAGCCCTATTTATCATTGTCATCACATACATATCTATCACTTATCGAAAATTTAATATGATTTCCGTAATAAATAATAAATTTGAGAAATGTCAAACTTTTTCAAAATAGTATGGCGAGTACAAGCAAAGGTATTTAAACCCAGTGAAACATTGTCAACCATTTTATCAAATAAGAATATAAAGTTCTCCCGACATAAAATCAAATTGAAATAAATATAGACAGAAAGTATCTATAAAGAATGAAACATATTTATCATGTGTTAGACGGGTTGAGAAAACATATTAGCTCAACATTTTTTTTTTTTTTTGACATCAAACGTCTGATCTATTACTTAAGGAACTCGAGGTGGTCTGGGAATCTAGACCGGAATAGAACAACCAACGTACACAAGCTTACGATAAAAGGACCTAGCTGTCTTAGTTAGAGAATCAGAAACACCGTTCTGAACTCTAGGAACATAACAAATCTTGAAATCGGGGAAACAGACCATCAGTGACTCTAGTCTTTCTAGCTCTGTTGAGAAGTTTGGCCAAGCATGAGGGTTCTTGAGCATCTCAATCATCTCCTTGCAATCAGTTCCAAAGCTCTGACATGGCGAATGTTGAAGCATATTCTCCATTGCCCACCGCAGTGCTTCCAACTCTGAGTGCAGCGCCGACTCCACTTGATCAAAATTACGCATCCCCATTAAGCTACTATTCCCTGAATTATCATTCAACACCCATCCACAACCACTGAAAGCAAGTCCAGGATCCATCCACCAAGCAAGTATTTTCCAAACTTAAGGTCTGGTCTTCCTCTGTTCCGTCTCCAATGGGAACCGGAATTTCCTGCTCATTTGCTTGGAACCATGCCTGACATTCACTTTCCGCATAGCGCGCTACCTCCAGTGGATCCCTATCAATACCTCTGAAAATCTTATCATTCCTAGCCTTCCAAATGTACCAGATCAACCAAGGATAAGGATCCCTGTGCGATTCTGGTTCCATCAGTGCATTCTTCCTCCAGAATAGATAATCCATATTCGCGTACGTGCTTTGTATTGGGAACAACGCAGGATTGATAGGCGTAGATGATAGTGCCCAAACTTGTAGTGCAGGTGGACATTCAAATATTGCATGCGTAATCGTTTCCTCTGGTTCTCCACAGCGAGGACAATGGTTATCGCATCTCATATGTCTATAGTTCAAGATGCTCGTAACCGCCACATGTCCTGTTATTAACTGCCACATAAGATGGCAAATTTTCTGGGGGGCCTTAACCTTCCATGCATGTGCTTGGAGACTTGTAATGCTAGGCTCACGCACTTCGAGATCATACTCCGCCCTCAAGAGAGTTCGTGCTACCCAATACCCCGATTTAACTGTATACTGTCCATTCCTCGTATAACCCCAACAGTACGTGTCTCGTCGATGCGTAGAACTAATGGCCATGCTCTTGATGAGTGGTATATCAGCTCCGACAATATAATCCTGCAGTCTATTCTCATCCCAAGTCTTCGTTGTTGGGTTGATCAAATCACTCACTCGCATATTCGGATGCATAACCGGTGCCAATGGGGTTGCTGGCCTCGCAGGTATAGTAGGAATCCAAGGGTCTTCCCACACTTTGATTTCATATCCCGAGTGGACCTTTTGTCTAATTCCTAATAGCAACAACTCCCTTCCTGCCAAAATACTAGTCCACACATATGACGGGCTACTAGTATTGATTTGACGCAAATGCGTACTCAATCTGTAATACCGGCCTCTCATAACACGAGCTACCAGAGAGTCAGGGTTCTGAACTAGTCTCCATAATTGCTTTGCTAACAACGTGAGGTTAAACTCATGAAGCAACCTAAAACCAATTCCGCCTTCTTCTTTAGGTAGACAAATTTTGTCCCATGTTGACCAGTGAATACCCCTCTTTGGCGGATTTAAGCTCCACCAGAACTGTGCAATGGCACTAGCTAAATTCTCACAAATCTCCAAAGGGAGAAGAAAGCAAGACATAACATACATCGGGAGAGCAAGCAGAATTGATTTGATCATAACTTATTTCCCACCTTTCGAAAGCCATCTGCCAGTCCACCCATTAACTCTACCTCTCAGCTTATCCTTAAGGAAGGCAAAAAGCTTACATTTAGACCCACTGATATCCTCTGGTATACCTAAATATGATCCCATGCCTCCTTCATTCTGGATCCCAAGTGTGTCTTTGATCTCTTGTCTCACATCATGACCGATTCTTTTACCAAAGAGTAAAGAAGACTTATCAAAATTAATGCATTGTCCTGAAGCTTTTCCATATACCTTGACCACTTTCATTACTTCTTCACATTCACGGGGCTCCGCCTT